TGAGAATTATTATGGGATATCAGTGTTTCCTCTTTTCCTTTTGGTTCAGGAGCCAGGGGCTTTCTACCTGCAACTTCGGGGCCTCAGGTGCCTCCCCAGGGAAATGGGCGATGCAGCCTTTGGGGTTGTTGTGCAGCCCCCATAGCTACCTCCATACCCTTCCTGGCACCATGGTGGCTACAGTCAGTTCCCCTCTTTTGTCCTGTTCCCCTGTAAGGGGAGCGAGATGGACAATAGGATTGGAGTTAACCCCCTCCCACTTCACCTTCATCTAAGCTGAGCTGCAGTCTCTTCTGCCCACCTGAGCCTCCCACCCCTCCTCCCTCCCAGAGAGAACAAAGGTTAGTTTCGGTTCTGTCACTCCCTGAAGGGGTGAGGAGGACAAGCCCCCCTCCACTTCCTTGGTTTCCTCCCTCAGTGGTACAGCGGGGAAGGTTCTCCTCCCCCACCTCTTTCCCAGGAGGTGGCGGATGAGGTGGGGCTTCCTGCGGACTCGGTAAAGTGTCATTGAGATGGTAACTACACAGTGGGGGTCCCGGCCTCTCCTGTCCGTAGCCTTCCAGCCCGAGTCCCAGGCCCAGCCTAGGCCCCAACTTTAACCCTTTGGTTCCCAGATCCAGCTGAATCCAGGTTGACCAGAGGACCTAAGAGAGGGCCTGGGGCCTCCCAGCCGTGGCCTAAGGAGGGCTGAGGGCTGAGGGTGGGCAGTACATTCCTGCCCAGGTGCCCTGGGACTCTGACCTCTGCTGCCCATCCCCCCACACACACACAGTGTGCCTCTCCTAGTTCTCTGACAAATGTCCCCACATTTACTCTCCATCTAGGCTGTGGAGGAGGCGCCTTATCAAGAGGGGGAAAAGAGAGACAGGTGGGAGGAAGCTGAAGCTGCCCCGTGCCCGGAGGCAGGTCTGGCTGGGATTGGTTTCTGGGGGCGGCGGCAAGAGGGGTGTCTTCATCCTCTGACCGCCCACCTCCCGTGTGGCAGTGCAGGGGTAGAGTGTAGACATGTCGGGCTGAAGAGGAAATGGGATCTAAGAAGTTTAGGGTCCTCATTGTGCCATCTCTGGGCACCACGTTTACCTGGTGTGTGTAGTGCCCACACCAGGCCCCATCACGACGTTGGGGGGAGGGGGTTGGAGCTGCCCGTGGAACTGGTGGGCCCTTAAAGCAAGGCCCAATTGCAGGCTGACCAACTGTCCCCATCCCCTGCGACCCCCCTACAAAGGACTCAGTGCTCAAACCAGGAATGTACTAGGCAAATCAGGATGAGTTGGTGACCTTATGCCCAAGGCAGGAGGCAGACTCTCTCCAGGCCTGGGGAAGGAAAAGGCCCTGGGCTGAGGCTGCCCAGGATGGGAGGCCTTTTGTGCGGTTCGGTGGGCCCTCCAGAGATCCGGGCTGGCTGCTGCTCCCTGACACCTGCCCGCCCAAACCTGTGTGACTGGATTCCTGGTGGCCCCAGAGGGAGCCCACTGAAGGCTTGCCTCTATTTGCCCTTCTTCTCAACCACCCACCTACCCCATGAAGTCTGAGGCCTGGGGGCGTGAGGGGGCACTAGATGAGCTGGACAACCTGCCCAGGGCTCCCCCTGCCCATCACAGCCAGCAGGGAGCTCTGGCCGTGTCCCAGCCAGCTAGCATCAGCACCCTCCTCCCGTCTTCAGGCCGGGGCCACCAGGTCAGCCCATACCAGTTTATCTCTGCCCCTCTCTGGGGAGGCACCCAGTGTGGAGAAAGTGCCAATCATTGGCGTCCGCCTATCAGACCCACTGGCTGGCACTGGCCTCAGTTGTTCCATTTTAGGGGGAGGCGTTCTTGTGCTTTTCTGGGGCACCCACCCCTTTGCAAATCTGATGACGTTATAAACCTCTTTTCCAAAAAATTGCTAAAACCCATTCCCAGAAGCAATGCAGCCACTTGAAATTAGAATCCTTTATAAATGAAGCCCCACTGGGTAGGTGAGGAGGCACCTAGCACCCCTCCCCTCCCTCAGGGTCGTAGAGTGGTGCAGCGGCCAGGTGTGCATTGGGGGGCCTCCCACCCCTGCCCCCACAGGCCAGGTGAGCTCCAGCTTCCTCAGGAGGAGGGCGGGTGGAGAGGCTCTCCCCCGGGGGTCCTCTCCACCACCCCGGAGAGTGGAATTTTCATCAGCCCCCAACTCCCTTTTCACACAGTAATCCTCAGTTCTTAGCACCCAGGGAGGGCCTTGAAGGAGCTCATGGCCCGCCCCAAATGAGGGGCTCCTGTTTGTGCGCTTCTCAAAGGGACCTTTGACCCAAGGAGGCTAAGGACCTTGACCTTCCATGAACTGGCCCTGGGTTGGGGGCAGGATTTGAGCCATGGTCTGTGTGACTTCCAGGCTGCCCCCACGAGGGGAGTCACAGGCTCTGAGGGGGTCTTCAGGAGGGGTGTCTTTCCTGAGGACTGTGGGGCAGGGCTCAGGGACGCCCTCCTCTGTGGTGTCCCACTCCCCGAGGAACAGAGTTGGGTGCTGGGGCTGCACCCCCACGGAGGGCTCACGCCCCTGCTACTCTCCCCCTTCCCCCTCCCCCACCTGCACAACGGGCTCTTTGTCCCTGGCCCCCAGACACCCTCAGCTCAGCCCCCAGATTCAGCAGCAGGGGTGGGGATGGCACACCTGAGCTGATGTAGAAGTTGGGGGTGGTGGTTTTCTAGGCCATTGCCTGGGTGATGCCACCTGAGCTGAGCGCCAGGCACCTGTTGCTGGGGAACAGTGCGGGCAGGGCCCCTCCCTCGGGAGCCGCCAGCGCCACTGGGCTGAGACGGGAGACGGATCAGATTCCAGAGAGTCCCCGGTTGGCGGGCAGCTGGACAGGGGCGGGGTGTGTGATACTGGGGAAGCTGGTGCGTTTGCATCACGGGGTGGGGGAGAGCAGAGACAGCGGCGGGCGGGGGACAGGAGGCTCCCCAAGATACCCTCCCACTTCTGTCCTGAGCCAGTTCCTTTATGGCCCCCATTCCTTCCTCCACAGCCGGTCCTCAGTCTCCCCATTCCTTTGTCCATGGGTTCCTATGGCATGGATGTTCTTTCTTCCCCTGTTCCATCCTGGTCATGACCCACCCCCGCACTGACCCTGAGGCCCCCATCCCATCCCCAGCCCCGCCTCCTCCCATCACTCTGGCTTCCCCAGTCTCGGCCTCTCTGCTCCTCCCCTGCCTTGGCCTTAAAACCCCGCCTGCAACCGGGAGCCAGCAGAGTCCCCAGGTGGCACTGCCAGGTGAGCCGCTCAGCGTGAACCTGCACCAACTCTGGGGACACATCTCTCTTCAGCCTGAAGGTGGGTCGGGAGGGTCCGTGCAAGCTGGGTCAGACAGGCGGCGGTGGGACCTGACTGCAGGGTGGCAGGAGCAGCCGCTGGGCATCTGAGGGGCGACGGGCCCCTCGAAGGGACACCAGCCGCTCAGCTGAGCAGGACTTGAGGTTGATTTGTGTTTGTGGAGGTTCAGAGACACATCTGTGAGGGGCACGGAGCGAGGAGGTGCCTTGCCAGAGGCTCACAGATGTGAGGACTGTCTTGGTCAGAGGACGCTGACTTACGCTCCGCAGCATCGGACCCACTCCTGCAAATCAACCAGGCCTCCTAGAGTTGGGAAGACCTAACTGAGGGAACAGATGGCTTCGGCTGCTCTTGAACTCCTGGGCATGACCCTGGCTGTGCTGGGCTGGCTGGGGACCCTGGTGTCCTGTGCCCTGCCCCTGTGGAAGGTGACCGCCTTCATCGGCAACAGCATTGTGGTGGCCCAGGTGGTGTGGGAGGGGCTGTGGATGTCCTGCGTGGTGCAGAGCACCGGCCAGATGCAGTGCAAGGTGTACGACTCGCTGCTGGCGCTGCCCCAGGACCTGCAGGCTGCCCGAGCCCTCTGCGTTATCGCCCTCTTGCTGGCTCTGCTTGGCCTGCTGGTGGCCATCACGGGTGCACAGTGTACCACCTGCGTGGAGGATGAAGGCGCCAAGGCCCGCATTGTGCTCACCGGGGGGGTCATCCTCCTCCTCTCAGGCATCCTGGTGCTCATCCCTGTGTGCTGGACCGCCCACGCCATCATCCAGGACTTCTACAACCCCCTGGTGGCTGAGGCCCTCAAGCGGGAGCTGGGAGCCTCTCTCTACCTGGGCTGGGCGGCATCTGCCCTGCTTATGTTGGGCGGGGGCCTCCTCTGCTGCACATGCCCCCCGCCCCAGATCGACCGGCCCCGGGGACCAAGGTTGGGCTACTCTATCCCCTCCCGCTCGGGTGCATCTGGGCTGGACAAGAGAGACTACGTGTGAGGTGAATGTCCATGGAAGCCTGCTGCTTAGAACCTTGACCCTGTGCTGGATGCCCTGCCCTAATCCTTACCTTCTACTGTCAATCCCTCCCCCAGGTGAAACCCACTTTCCAGATGCTGGAGCCCAGCCCGGCTGCAGGGCTAGTCTCAGCGGGCCTGACTGAGTCTAGACCCTCCTCAGGGTCCCCACCTCCATCCAGGCAGGGTGCCCTGGCCTGCCCCTGCTTCCCCCAATTTTCTCTCTTCTGCTGTCTCCTTCTTCAGGCTGGCCCTCCTCTTCCTGAGCCCTCCCCTGCCCCCAGAACCTGGGCCTCACTCAAAGGGCAGTAGCTCCTTATGCCCTCCCTGGCCTGGAGTTGGTCCCTTCTGACCTGGCCACTACCAGCATCCAGAGGCCCAGGACAGGTCATCTGGGAGCAGCCACTCTCCTCCAGGCCTGGAGGCCCTGCCCATCATCAACCCCCCTCACCCCCACCTTTGAGTAGGGAATAAATAGACCATTTGTAACCCGGCTCCTTTGATCTGTGGTTGGGCCGGGAAGACCTGATGGCCTCTCCTGGGTTTGTCTGGCCAAGGCCTGCTCCAGGTCCTGACCAGTGGGTAACCTCACTCAGGCCACGCAAGGCACGGGGGCAACACGGGAGGTGAGTGACTTGTGCCCACCTCCTCCTGCCAGGCTGGCACTCAGCAGACCCCCAGCAACACCAAAGGCAAGTAACCAAACAAAATGTGCTTTATTTAGTAAAAACTGGTGAGTGTGGGCAGGACATGGCAGAAGTGCACAGGGGCTGGGGATGGGAGGGTCAGGGGTCAGCACAGGGGGGACATGACTCAGGATGGAGAAGCCAGAGGTCAGAAGACTTGGAGGTGGGTGGGTCTTTGGTAACTTATCACCTGCTCCTCTAGAGGCTACACGTGGCTCAAAAGCCCCTGGGGGTTCCAGAGGCCTGACCAGCAAGGGAAGGCTTGTCTCTGCAGGCCTAGGGAGGCCCTACCCCCAACATCAGCAGGAACTCTCGGGGACAGGATGAAAGCACCTGGATAGCAAGCACCCTTCACATGGGGCCCAAAGCTCCAGGTTGGTCTCTAAGATGGGGGTGTCCAGGGTGGAGAAAGATCCAGAAACTCTGAAGCATCACCTCTTTGGCTCCATCATCCAAAGGTGAGGAACGCCAGTAGCAGAGCCCAGGTGGGTTATCAAATGGATTAACCACCGCCCCCCACCAATATAAAGCAAAAACAACACCAAAGCTGTCATGGATCACCATTGCCATGGCTCCAGCTCAGAGGGTTAGGCTCCACTCTCAAGGGAGCCCACGCTCCCCTTCCCGAATTAGACGTAATTCTTAGTGGGGTACTCAGAGGGACCCCGAGAGGCAGTATGTGGGGCTGAGGCCGAGTATCGGGCCATATAATGGCTGGAGCCCCGGGACCCCCCAGAGGGGCAGGTGCAGCACAGTAGCCCCCCACCCAGCAACAAAAGGCCAGAAGCTGCCCAGCCCAGGTAGAGGGAGGCTCCCAGCTCCCGCTTTTGGGCCTCGGCCACCAGGGGGTTGTAGAAGTCCTGGATGATGGTGTGGGCAGTCCAGCACACGGGGATCAGGGTCAGGACTCCTGAGATGACAAAGATGATCCCAGAGATGAGCACCAGACGGGCCTTGGAGTCCTTGTCCTCCACACAGGTGGTGCACTTGGCCCCTGCGAGGTAGACCAGCAGGCCGAGCAGGACCACTAGGAGAGTGATGACACAGAGGGCTCGGGCAGCCTGCAGGTCCTGGGGCAGCGCCAGCAGCGAGTCGTACACCTTGCACTGCATCTGGCCAGTGCTCTGCACCACGCAGGACATCCACAGCCCCTCCCACACCACCTGGGCCACCACAATGCTGTTGCCGATGAAGGCGGTCACCTTCCACAGGGGCAGGGCACAGGACACCAGGGCATTCACCCAGCCAAGCAGTGTCAGGACGATCCCCAGGATTTGCAGACCAGCAGAGGCCATGGTGAGGTTGAGGTTGAGGAGCTGCACTGCGGGACAGAAGCAGAGTAACGTTAAGATCAGCTGGCCCAGCCCCTGGTTCCCAGTGAATGCTAACCCCCATGCCACATGCCATGGCCACCACACAGGACACCAGGAGTATGAACCCTGGGAATCAGGACACCGTGTCCTGTAACATGGGCAAGGCATGCTCCCTGAGCCTCATTTTCTCATGGGCAAAATGAGCATTTAATGCTTTAGTATTTTTTTTTCCCCAGACAGGCACTAGTTTATAAGAGTGAAAAAGTAAGCAACCCAGTCCTAGTTGTTTTGAGTGCAAATGAAATATAAAGCCTATGCACATGCTTGCCCATGGCTTCAGCTACTTTGGGTACAAAGGGGCAAAAGGGATGAAACAATAGAATGCAGTTTTTTGGTGGTTTCCACAGGGTTATTGGGTGGTAGGTTTGCTCTAGCCATGAGTTTCAGGCTTAAAACTTAGTTTTAACACCAAGAATAGAGATACAAGTTTCCTCCCAGCACCCAACATAAATGTCCAAACCCTTCACCCCAACTTGGTTCTGTACCCCATACAGGCGGTTGCCAGTTTGATCTTAAGATCTTGTGTACATGGTGGCCAGTCAGCCCTGGCCTTGCCTGCCACTGCCTGGCCCAAACCAATCCCACCCAGTCAGATCCTGGATGGGGCAGGAGAGATGGAGGGAAACAAAAACAAAAACAGCCCTCCCACCCCGAAGCACTTCCTTTCCCAAGGCCACCGGCTGCCTCCCTAGTTCCTGCCCTTCTGTCCTCCCCTAGGGGGGCCACAGAGCAGACCCCCAAGGTTGGTGACATTTTTTTGTGTATTCTTGCCCCAAGTGCCATTCCCTCAGGACACAACTTCCCTAAAAGAAGTTACCACCCTTGGGGTCTGTCCAGTGAAACATCTCCTCTGGGGCAGCCCTGGCCCCCTCACATCCCACTTCGTGTTGGAGGTCGCCGCGGGGGATCCCTTCTGTTCAGGGTCCCGTTGTGGCTCTCCATTGCCCAAAGTTCCCGCGCACGGCTCGGACCTAAACTTAGCACCGGTCCCACCAGGGTGGCCAGAGGGCAGACTCTCCACTCATTTGCACCCGCCCATAACCCGGGCCGAACTCATGGCCTGGGGGGAGATAGGACGCGGCGGGCCGTATGGCGCTAATCCCAAACCCAGTGTCAGCCCTCCAGGACTCTGGCCGGGTTAGGGCCGGGGCCACGCCAGACTAGGCACCCAGCACCTCTCCCTTACAAGCGTGTCCCTGCTCTCGACCCCTTCCCTTTCCACGCACTACAGGCTCGGCTCATCCGAGGGCGTCCCCTCCCGCTCTCGATCCCTATTTCCCTTCTGAGTCTGGCCCGAAGAAGGGTATCCTCAGGCCCCCGGCCTGGAAGCCGCGCACCCTGGAAGGTTCTAATGGCGGCGCTAGCTGCAGGGTCCGCTCCCGCAGGTGAGGGGGAAGGGAGCCCCGCCCCAGAGGGAAGCACAGGTGGGGGAGGGGCGCCTGGGTTTCGGTGCCTTTGTCCCCGGGCTGGGGGGAGGGGCGTTTAACCCTTCCGCCAAAGGACCCCATTAGGGCTTTGGTGCAGCCCCCCGCCCAGGGGCTCCTGGCCCTGGGTGGCTGCCGCCAAATCAGTTCAGGTTCTTCACGCGCACCCCAACCCAACTCCGCCACTCCCCCTGCCCCCCTATCTTCGAGGCACCTACCCCCTCCCCCACGACACGCACACTTCCCCCAGGCTCACCTGCAAAGGAGTCCACCAAGATTCGGAGTAGCAGGCGGAGTGCTGGGACTGGGGCGGAGGCGGGGGTCTTAAAGAGGCAATGACGTCACCGGACCACCGCCCAGGGGAGGGGCAGAGACCCCAGTCCAGACCGCGGCGGACGCGCGAATCCCAACCTCGTCAGTGGGGGGCGCTCGAGCCTGGAGCCGCTGCTCCCCCATCTGGCCCGGGTGCAGGGCATCAACTGGCTGAAGTGGGCAAGCAGTGGGTCAAGGGTCAGGGTATGGAGCCGAACAGAGCTTGGGGCTCGACTCCGGAACTCACCTAACCTTCCCGAGCCTCATTTTAGTCTGAAAAATGGAGACAACAAGCCCACATTTTACTATGTAACTATGTCCTAAGGTAGAAATTAAAGGGCACAGTATTATTATTTTTGTTGTATTGTTATTATCATACCCTCGGGGCCCTTAAGAAACAGCTTTCTCTGTGCTGGGTTGTTTCGTGTCAGATCCGCCCTCTCGCCCAACATGCACCTCCTGGGCTTCCGCACCGAGAAGGCAGGGCCAGATCTGCATCCCTTTGGCGTTCTGGCCGCTCCCGCACAGAGACGGCGTTTGTTGAGCGAATAACTGAACTTAGAGGTCCGGGCGGGACCCGGCATCTAGGGGTGGATCATGGGGCGGGCAGAGGCTAGGGATCCGCCCCGGAAGGCGGGGGCGGGGCCGCTGCTGTCTGCCCCGGTACGCGGGCGGCCAGCGCAGACTGCAGCCGCCGCCCGACGAACACCATGTCTCCTGGCCCACTACGCCCGCTGCCGCGGCTCTTCGTGCTGGGGCTCGGGCTGGCGCTGCTGCGCGCCGCGGCCGGGGAGCGAGTGCCAGGTATGCCCGGCCCGGGCTGGGCGGGAGGGCGTGGGAGACGGAGGACTCCCAGGTCCGGGATCGGGGAGCCGTCATTGGGGGCCTAGAGGAGGGGGCAGAACTGGGGGGACTAGGCGGACATGGGGATCCGGGGTCAGGTGGTCTCCAGACACCGCGCTCCCTGGCCAGGAGAGGTCCCATCTCGCTCCCAGCTTCATCCGTAGTCCGGGCCTCAGTTTCCCGCCTGTCCAACTTGGGGGGCGGGGGAGGCTTCGGTCCTGAGTCTGGACTCGGAAGTGGAGAGAGAAGAAAAGTTTGAGGGAGGGATGTCCCGTCCGGTAAGGTGGCACGCCCCCAGCCTGATCAATACCGGGTCTGCCCACCCCCCTTAACCGGAGAGTTGGGGACGTGCTGAGAGGCACGGAGGTCTGTGCCCCCCATACCATGTGGGGTGCCCCCTTCCATCCGGTGACTTCAGTGCCCAGCTATGCGGGGGGAGGGACCGGGGTCGGGCCCGGTGCCCAGGAATGAGTCACCCGCCGGCGGCGGCGGGGGGGCTGTTATGGGGACCTGACCCACTCCCCCAGCGTCCCGCACTACGCCCCCCTCTCCCCCGCGCTGCCGTGTCCCGGTCGGGCCGTGCGGTCACCTGTGAGGAATGTGGAGGGAGGGCGCCGGTGACTCACGTTATTCGAGCCGGCCGACCCTGACCTCAGCCCCAAAAATAGCCGCCCCCCGCCTCTGACTCGTGGCCCCCTCCCCAGGCACCACCCCCTGCTCTCGCGGCAGCTCCTGGAGCGCGGACCTAGACAAGTGCATGGACTGCGCATCGTGCCCCACGCGACCGCACAGCGACTTCTGCCTGGGCTGTGAGTGGGGGCGGGGCCAGAGGCGAGCGGACCCCAGTCTGGGGGAGAGGGTTGCTGGGTGGAGAGGGGAGCAGATCTGTGGAATTAATTGGGAGAGGCTGGATTGAGGAAGGGGCTCTGACTGGGGTAGGGACCAAGGTGGAAGAAAGGCTTAAGGCTCTGATCTAGGGGGCGGGGCTGGTCCCTAGAGGGGCGAGGTCTGACTTGGAGTCCCGCCCCCAGGCGCTGCGGCCCCTCCAGCCTCCTTCAGGCTGCTGTGGCCCATCCTTGGGGGTGCCCTGAGCCTGGCCCTCGTTCTGGGGCTGCTTTCCGGATTCCTGGTCTGGAGACGGTGCCGCAGGAGAGAAAAGTTTACCAGTAAGTGTGCCCCTGCCCGCCCGACGGCCCCTCATCATTCCTCAACAACTCCCCCGCTCCTGATGCCCCTCTTCTTATCTTGCAGCCCCCATCGAGGAGACCGGCGGGGAGGGCTGTCCTGGCGTGGCCCTGATCCAGTGACAGCGAGCGCCCCCTGCCAGCAGGAGGCTGCGCCCACTCATCATTCATTCATTCATTCTGGAGCCAGCCCCAGCCTCCCAGACACAGCCAGAGCCAGGCTGCTCCAACCACAGGGGTGTGGAGGGATGGGGGACAGCGAGTCACCTCTCTGAGGCCTGGGTCCAGGCTTCAGAAGGGCCTTCCAAGGTGTCTGACTGCCCTGACTCTGGCTCCAGAATAGAAAAGGAGACCCTGGCTGGCTCATGCCAGACAGCTGACACTAAGGAACCACAGCATTTGCACAAGGGTCCCCCCACCCCCACTATGGCCTGGGGGCCAGGCTGACCTGAGAGACAGACACAACATCAGGACCCACCCACTCAGATGTACTGAAATTCCACCAGGGGGTCTCAGCCTGGGGGGCTAGGGACCTGTTCCTAACTCTAGGGGGCTGGCCCTCTAGCACGGCTGGCCCTAAGACACTGCCCCTCCAACCCCCAAAAGGGGGGAGATATTTATTTTGGGAAGAAAGTTTGGAGGGGGAGAGAATTTATTAATAAAAGAATCTTTAACTTTAAATGGTTTGGAGAGTGGCATGATCCCAGCCTGACTTCCCAGAGCTGGAGGGAGGAGTGAGTCAGCCGCGGGGGTGGGGGTGAGGCTCTGACTCACACATTCTCAATGCCTGAGCCCAGCCTGCCAGGACCTGGCTGTGCCCTGACCGTTTTCCAGGGAAGATCTTGAGGAGAAACCCCAGCATCCAGCACCCCTGCCCTGCCCTCCCTTTCCCAAAGGCCCTGGGTTCCACACTGTAGCCTTCATTTGCTCAGCAATCTTTATTCAGTTCTCTGGGGAGGGGACGGCTCCCTTCCCATGCTCCTGCGCCTCCCACCCCAGGGCTCCGTGGGGCTCAGTGTCCTCTGTTGGGGGAAGGTCCTGGTGCCCAGAGGCCTGGTCTGGAGGAAAAGCAGGGCAGCTGCTCCCTTCGTGGGAGTGCTGGCCTCCCCTGCTGTGGGGAAGAAGGAAGGTGGGCAGGGGCACTGCCCCCCAGTACTCAGAGCTCCATTATGTCCCCAGCTGGGGTTGCAGGATAGTGGGGGCTGGGGGTGTCCCCCAGCCTCAGCAACCGGAGCGCCTCAGGGATCAGGTTCCCAGGGTAGCACCAGAGAAGCAGCTCAGAGCAAGGGCTTCTGGAAGAGGAAATGACAGTCACGGCACAGGGCTGAGGCTGGACTGGCAGAGCCACACCCCACCTGGTACAGGTCCCCAGGGGCTCCTGGACTGCTGGCACCTTCCAAGGAGCCAAGTAGGGAAACAACAGAGGTTGGCTAGAAGCTAAAAATAGCAAGATGAGGCAGAGCCTGGAGATTGGCTCTGAGGATTGGGTATGATCCTCCAGAAGGCCCAGCTAGTGGATTGTGGATTGTGCCTACCTGAGTGGGGGCAGAGCTGGGGGGAAAGCCATGGGGGGGCTGCAGTAAGGGTGGTCATTGTGCAGGCTGAGTCTAGAGAAATGGGTGACCATGTTCTCCTCAGACAGGAACTGCTTGCGCAGGGGCTCCCTGGGGAGAGACGAGGAGGCAGGCAGCCTGGGATATTCAGAAGAGAGGTAGTCTGATGGGGACCTGAGGTGACAGAGGGCTTGCTGGGAGTCCCTCCCTGCCCCCAAACTCACTGCTCCTCCTCCAGGCGACGCTTGGTACTCATGGGCACAGGTCCTCGGAGAGGGGAGCTGGGAAGAAAAGAGAGCCAGGAGCACCCCACCCTCTTGGACCCATCCCCAGGATCTGCCCAACTAAGCCTGCAGCGTCAGCCAGGAGCCCCCAGCCCAACCCTGTCTCAGCTGACGCCTAAGTCACCTCCTCTCCCAGACCATCCAGAAGCCTGCCTCGGAGTCTGTCCAGAGTCTGCAATCCTGTCTTAACTCATGCCCAAGCCCTGCCGATAAACCCCACCGCGTGTCATCCTGCAGACCAGCCCTGAGGGCCCAGCAAAGCTCCTGGGCCCCCACACACACCTCGCGTCCAGGCCTCGGGACGCCCCTGAGTCAGCCCGCGGGTCGCGCCGGGCCCGACCCTGGGGGCTTCGCTCCAGGGGTTGCTGCAAGATCATTGGTGTTCGGGGTCCTGCGAGCGGAGGGGTGGGATCCGGGCGACAGGGGCGGAGACTCCGAGGGCGTGGCTCAACACGTGGGCGTGGCTTTAGGCGCGCACGCGCGCGGCCAGGTTCCACGCAGGCGCGGAAGACGGACGGCACGCGACTGGAAGGCGGGTCGGTTCAGCGGGGTAAGGGAGGGGAGGTAGGGGAAGGGACCTGGCGTAGTGGCGTTGAGGAGGGCGCCACTTAGTGTTGGGACCTTCTTGGCGGTCACCTCCGCTCCTGGGACTCGGGTTACGCGGCGGCCGCCTTCACGCCGGACCCGCCACCAGTGTTGGGTAGGTGACGCGCCGCGAAAGGGAGGCGCTCGCCGGCACTTCCGGTCTCGTGAGGCTTCGTCGCGCGCGGAGCACTCTGGGACTTTTATTTCTCGAGATGGAGCGAGCCATGCCGCAAGCGGTGCCTCTGGGTCAGGTGAGGGGGCGTGATGCGTGGTACCTTCTGGGGTTTGTAGTCCATGCCCGGCTCCGAAGGGGCCGGCAAGGAGTCGTGCGCTCAAGACCTGTTTTGCGTGGGCTGTTGGTGGGACTCGGATTCTGACCCGAGGGAGGGAGAGTAACCCAGAAATACCTCAGGGGCCTAACATGAAAGTCAGGATACGGATTAGGAGTCAGTACGTTTTTCTGTATTGGAGTAATAGAGCCACTTTTTTTTTTTTCTTTTTTTTTTTTTTTTTGCGGTACGCGGGCCTCTCAATGTTGTGGCCTCTCCCGTTGCGGAGCACAGGCTCCGGACGCGCAGGCTCAGCGGCCATGGCTCACGGGCCCAGCCGCTCCGCGGCACGTGGGATCCCACGGACACGAACCCGTGTCCCCTGCATTGGCAGGCAGACTCTCAACCACTGCGCC